CCGGAAAAGGAATGAGCGGGAAAGGCAGCGGGTGAAATGTGTCAATGAAGGCTATGCCCAGCTCCGACATCATCTGCCAGAGGAGTATTTGGAGAAACGACTCAGCAAAGTGGAAACCCTCAGAGCTGCAATCAAGTACATTAATTACCTCCAATCTCTTCTGCACCCTGATAAGACTGAGACCAAGAATAACCCTGGGACATGTTCCTCCATAATGGCAACCGCCAGCCTCCACGCTGACCCCATTTTTAGAATCATTTGATTGTTTCCAAATAGAAACAAATGATTCCACAAAATGGGGTCCCTTACAGCATCATTCAATGGTTTTTCCTGAATGTAATTCCTGCGTAGGCAGATAATAGGTCAAATGATAACCTGTGCTGGATATTTCTTACCTGGGTTTCAGATGTACTAAAGAGTCTTATGTAGATTGAGAAAATCCTTCTTAAGCTTTGGCGATTTCTTTCAAGAACCTTAGGGAAGCAGGAGTCCCCAGGATTCCCTATACCTCTTGCCTTGCCCTTCTCACCCACTCGGCTAGAGTCTCAGCTGTGAGAAACTCTCACAAAAGCAATGTAAAGTAGGACTAATGACCATTCCGCATGTGTCATGCGCTTTGCAGACGCCTTGTGCTAAACAGTCACAATGAACCTCCCTTGATTTGTCAAAGTTTGGTGGTTTCTATTATTTCGGGTTGACAAGAAATCTATACCTTACCCACATCATGATGGGAAAGCATCTCAGGGTTAAAGCAAAAGTAATTACCAAAACCTTGTTTTCATTTGAAATTATTTCAGTCATCTTTTTCTTGCATGCAGAAGACTTCCTTAGGTAGCTCAGTGGAGGGGTTCGGGGGGGCAGGCTCTGGAATAAACTGCCTCAGTTTAAACTAGGATTCCGCTACCTCCTCTCTCTGCCTTCTCAGTTCTTCATTCAGAGAATGAGAATAATAATGACAGCAACTCCTTGTATGTTTATTATGAGGATTAACAGTGCCTGCCTGACACGTAATAAGTATTCATAACCCTTATTAATCACTATTAGTATCCTTCTCTTGTTCTGCCCATAGCATCACCCTTCTCCAAGTTCTCTTGGCAAGAAAACGTGCAGCTGACAGGCCTTTCCTTCTCTTCTGGGAAGGACAGGCACTGCCCCATATCTTGGAGTCTGCCTTCCAAATGTCTCCATTTTCATTCTCATGACTAGCTTCAGCTCCTCCTTCTCCCTTAACTCCCAGGTCCCATCAGTCACCACGCCCAGTCAGGACTTCCTGTGCACCCTCACTGCCATCTCTCTGTGAAGTCTTCCCACCCTGGCCATCATTTGTTCCTTTATGTAGTATACATATTTCCTTGCAGTAACTATCCTGCTATCTTTGCACGAATTACACACCTATCTCTGTCTTCAAGACACTATAAGGTCCTTGAAGATAGGGACCAGACTTATATTCTTATATTCATCCTATATTCCTAGCATCCTTCAAAAAGCCTCAAATCAGGGAGGTGTCAGTAAATATCTGGTGTTGTTATCTTCCTATCCAATCCTGTCACCTTGTGTCTGGGTCACTGTTAATAGTCTCCTCCCTGGCCCTCCTGGGCTCTCTTCTCAACTGGCTCTATTCCCACTCTGATATTCTTCAGTAAAGCATTTCATGTCCCTTTGATGAGGACTTTAGGCTGGTTACTCTTAAAACTGCAGATGAGAAGCAGGCTCCGAGGACTGGAATTTTGCTTGCCCTTTTGAGAGACATTTGCATTTGTGAAGGAAGGGGGGATGACCTTGTAGGGACCTGAAATTGGCCACCCCAGGATACGTCTCTTTGGCATCGGGATTGTTTTGGGCTGATTGCTTTTGATAAACTGGGACAGGGAGGGAGGCTCTGGGGAATGGAACTTGCCCTTGTTGGGACACATTTACATTTGTAAGGTAAATCTATCTGTAAAAGGTGCCTCCCTCTCTGTACCAGGAAGAAGAAGAGAGATGACCTTGTCCCTAGAAACTCTTAATGGGGAAGGCAAGAACTTAAGTTGGTTGCTGTCTGGCAATCTCATGTAACTGATTTAGGGTGGTGGCTTCTGACCTTTACTTAATCCAATTTGATTCTTGTCTAAAAGTCATGGGATCACCCAAGGACCAGACCCCACCTGCACTGATACCATTTTAACTTTTTTTCATGTTCTTTCCTTTGTCTTGTAAAGAAATGACTCACATACCCATGCCTTATAAAAATTAGCCCTAACCCTCAACTCGGGGCAGCAGCAGCGGCTCTGCCTGCCCATGGGTCCTGTCCCCATGCCAGCGGGGGCAGCAGAAGTGGCAGCAGCAGCGGCTCTGCCTGCCCATGGGTCCTGTCCCCATGCCAGCGGGGGCAGCAGAAGTGGCAGCAGCAGCGGCTCTGCCTGCCCATGGGCCCTATCCCCATGCTATTCCACACTATTCTCTAAATAAAAGAGCACTACTGCCAGATCTTGAGAGTCCAAGAAATCTTTCTTTCGACTCCTCGGCTCACCGACCCCACATCACCTTCGTTTCTCAAACCCCATGACTTCCCCTTTTGACTACCAGACTATTTATGTTTATCCGCTTGGTTTTCAAAGCTCCAACCAATCTGGCCCCTTCCCAAATATCCACACCTTGATTTTCCCATGACACCCCATTTCCCCCAAAAAGGAAAGTCACAGTCTTGCTGGTGCATCCTTCTCTCTTAGCTCTTGCTTCTTACTTAGACTGGATGGAATATTCTCCTTTTTCCATTCACCACCTGTCTTATTCAGGAATCCTTCTCTTATTTCCAGAGACTTCACTGGCCTTTGTTGGACTCTAACTGCATCTTTGTGCACCGCATAACTCAGCCTTTAGGGCAAGAGTCATTCTCCTGACTACAAAGTTATGGTTTGCGAGGGCAGTCATCAGTTAGGATGCTTTTGGTTGCAACTAACAGAAAAAGTCCAACCCAAATTGGTATAATCAATACAGGGAATTTATTGGTTCACATAATGAATCTTCTAACAGCAGCACTGCCTTTTGTCACCAAGAACCTGTTTTCTTTAGGTCTATCCTCTCCATCTTTCTCTGGGAATAGCTTTAGCGTCCCAAAAAGTCTGTCAGATATCTTACTTATCTACAGGAAGAAAGAGAAAGTCTATAATCCAGAATCCCCAACAAAAGTCTTGAGATTCATTCTGATTGGAGAGTCTCAGGAACATGCCCATCCCTGTGGCCAGGGGATGGAATATGCCTATCGATGCCCATTCCTCCCCTGGAGCTGGGGGTACAGTCAGCCTCTCTTAACCACATGGATCCACACACAGAAACAGGAATTGGTGGAAGAGGGGGAATGGAAGTGGGAGAGACACCCACAAATGTCCCTACCTACACTTTTGGTATTCTCCACTGCACACAGTGCCAGGCACACAACTGTTACTATCCAAGGTGGTGGTGATGGGGGGTCGTCTGCCCATTGCAAGACATGCCAATAGACAGGAGGCAAGGTGATAGGAGAGAAAGGGTTTTTTATTATAGCTTGCTAGCAAGAGGGAAGATGGTTGACTAATGTCTGAAAGAACCATCTACTTTTGTAGAACAAAGACTACAGGCCAGTTAAATATGGGGCTGGTCTCCAGGTGGGGGAGGTTGCTGATCTCTGGGTGGGGCAGACATCTGGTCTTAGTTCCTGATAGTCCTTTGTTTTACTAGATATGCATCAGAGACTGGAGCAAGGCCCTTGTACACTGATCTTTCAGTCATCACTGATGATGGCTATCAGCATAGGCTCTCTGCCCCGGGGTCATCACATTCCCAAGGAACTCAAAAGAACAAAGTTATCAACTTATAGCAGCTAGGAGGGGCCACAAAATCTACAGAGCATGTCTGGGCTAGTTCATCAGAGGTCATTCAAAGTTACAATATGGTTTCTTTTCCACAATATGGCTTCCTGTATGTCAACCTCGTGTAGAGCCGATTTCACAACTGGTGCACAATGATTGTCAGATGCCTCAAAATACCAGCCTTATGAATGAGAGCCGAATCTAGGCTTCTGTTTCTTTGGTCACCATTTTCCACTCCCACCATCCCATGTGGTCACCACACCTCTGCTTCTCAGCAGAGTCCTGTCTGTTACAGACAAACATGCCCACGCTTTTGGTTCTTTTGTTTTAAACTATGGACAAATTCTATCTTAAGAGTCCCTAGGCCAGCCAGCGGCTCCCCCTACTCCAGCCTCCTGTCTGCACAGAGTGGAGCAGATCAATAGCCCTGAGTCTCTGTAGGGTCAGCTCCCTCCCTCACAGGACTCTCTTGGGATCCCTGAGGGTGTCCCACCAGGACTGACTCTTCCAGCAGCGGGAAGCCTGAGCTTTTGGGAATTGAGGCTGCAAGTGATCTTTCTCTCCAATACTCCCTGTCCCCCTCTTCAAAGAGAAAGATGAAAAATAACCCCCTACCCCCGCCCACGCTCACGCCTCCCAAGGTCCCCTGTCACCCCTCTGCATTGCTCAGTACACTCTCTTGGCCCACTGCGTTCCTGCTGGCTGGCATCCATGGCAACCTGCTAGGCAACCAGGAGTCAGTTGGGCTGAGGCCCTGAGCCCCAACTGTCAGAAGGGCCGAGGCTGAGGTGGAGGAGTTTGGGGCTGTGAGTAAGTGCCCTTGGGGTCAGACCTGTGGGCTCGGGCAGGGGCAGACCCTAACAGGACTCTGGTGGGCTGGGCTAGTGGAGTGTGATCTTGGGCGCGGGGTGGCAGCTGCCGCCTCTGAAGGGTCACAGAGGCCGGGGCTCTGGGATCTCAGCTGGGCCTGGGGCCATCGTTAGTGCCGGAGGTGCCTGGGTTAGGAGGAGAGTCTGGGGCTTGGGTTAGGGGTCAGTTTGTCATCAGGGTTAGGATTTGTGGAGGGAAGAATAGTCCTTCCCCCGGGAATCCCTACAACTGGGGAGGAGGGAGGAGGCAGGAACTAACGTAAACGGAGCTACTTGTGTGCCAGGTGCTTTCCATATATCGTCTCCCGAGCGGTAACCCAGGAGCGGAGGCGAAGAGATCTCGCAGGCGGCCGGCTGTGAGGATTGACAGCTGGCTTTCTGGAAAATCGCAGCCCCGGCTCCTTCGACCCCTCCCCCATTTCCTGAGCCGAGGGGCCCGGGCGGCCGTGGAGCGGGGGCCGGGAGGCGCGGACCCGGAGCCGGGCGCCCTCTGCCGGGCGCGGGCTGCCGCTCGGGTACCGGCGGCGCTCGTTCTCAGGTGCTTTCCCCGAAGACCATGGAGTCCTCCGCGGGGCCTGGGATGCCTCTGCCCAAATACTGCAGCGTCGCCCCGACCCTGAGGGCCCCTGCCTGGGCAGGCGCGGCTCCCCGCTGGGACCTCTCCTTCGCCTGCCCCTTCGCCCTCCAAGCGCCCTGGCTCCCCGGGCACAGCGCCCTCACCAGGTACTGGCTCTGCCCCTCTGCGGCAGCGGTGTGCCCCGGCCTTTTCCTCTCTGTTCTTGGCGCTAGATGGCGTACCACGAGGGAGACAACTGGCTGCCTAGGAAGGCCGAAAGGGTCCTTTACTGTGTGGGCTGTGATTTGCTCGGGGTATTATATTATCCCTGTCTAAACTGTACTCCCGGGAACCTCAAGGGTTGACCTGGCTTTCGTGCCCCCTTGCAGCAGAGTGGGGATGTCAGAGTTGGCATGTGTGAGAGAAGGCAGGCAAGCATCACGTTATAAAGTTTCTAGCTCATTTTACCACCACCTATGAGACTTGCCCAGGCACCATGTGAGAAGTTAGTGTTCCTGCAACCAACAGCCAGGTGAGGTCTCCAGGCCCCTCCTCTCGTTCCCTCAGTTATCCTGGCTTCTCCTGAATAGTACCCTCAGTCAGCTGTCCACAGGGTGCACACCAGAAGGGGAAGGAACCTCAGCCTAGAAGCACATGCAAGTTAAGTCTCCGGGATTCCTGTCCAGGCTACTCAATTCAGTCTGCCCAGGTTAGGGATACGCTGGCTTGAACCCTTAATCGCCCCCTTTCTTGATTCACCTGTGTGGACTAGCTCCTTCAAAGGCAGAGTTAAGCATCCCTGTATGCAGGCTTGCCCACAAAGTAAATAGCTTCCCGAGAAACCCAAACCCTAACTCAATATTTCTCCCTGGGGCTTGGCCCTGTCTGCAAAATTTCCCAGAACCAGCTTCTCCATTTTTCTGTCTCACAGCCCCTTAGTCAGCTTCTCTGTGCTTCCCCTGCTCACACACTTCCTTCTCCTTTCTGACCCCACAGTGCCAAGCAACCTTACAATTTTGCTCGTTGGCCTTACCATCCGAGCCTCCACACATCATCTGGGAATCCCACACACCGCCGTAGGATTTACCTTCCGGTCCCCTTTCTTGGTCTGCTGTCTAGTCTTGGAGCCAGTGTTAACTTCACTATATCAAGGCTAATCACATTTTGATTACCTTGAAACAATTCCCAATCCTCAAACGATGGTTTCCTTCACTGTCCTCTCCTTCTCCCGTTCCAATAGTTTACCTCATCTCACCAGAAGTCATCGATTGCCACTTTTTCCATGGATTTCTGTTCCACGTAGCCCTGTATGTCCTACACCCACCATGGTGCGGCTCAGATTTAACAGTGAAATGTGTTTCTTGATATTCTTAGGGCTTGGTCTTCTCCATTCCCTAATTCCGTTTGCTTTTCCCCAGTTATGCAGCTTATCCCCCATGTCTCCATGTTGCTGACCCAGCATGGCAGGGGCTTGGCTGGCTGGGAAGAGTTGGAGATGCTGCTGACACATGGGTCCTGGCAAGAAGGGAACCAGACGGCTTTTATTACCGGGCTCAGATCAAGGCTGCTCCAGAGGCAAGTCCCTAACTCCCCACATCTCCCAGGCATGCTCCTGTGGGTGGCCCTGTCATACCTGATGGGCCTCAGCTGTGTGCGCCCTGCCTGGCAGTGCAGTTTCTTGGATAAGCACAGATCTTCCATGGCCACTTTGCAGAAGTGAAAATGTAATGTCAGTGAGTGTATTGGGTTGCTTGGGCTGTGTAACAAAGTCCACAAACTGAGCAGCTTAAATAACAGAAATTTATTGTCTCTCACTTCTGGAGACTGGAAGTCCAGGTATTGGCCGGGCTGGTTTTTCCGCGGGCTGTGAGGAAGAATCTGTTCCATGGGCCTTTCCTAACTTCTGGTGGTTTGCTGGCCATCTTTGGTGTTCCTTGGCTTGTGGAAGCATCACTCTGATCTCTGCCTCATCTTCATGTGGTGTTCTCGCTGTGTGCATGTCTGTGTTCAAATTTCCCCTTTTTGTCAAAGATTTTATTTTTCCTTTTTCTCCCCAAGGCCCCCCGGTACATAGTTGTGTATTTTTAGTTGTGGGTCCTTCTAGTTGTGGCATGTGGGATGCCTCCTCAGCATGGCTTGATGAGCGGTGCCATGTCCGTGCCCAGGATTCGAATTGGCGAAACCCTGGGCCGCCAAAGCATAGCGCGCGAACTTAACCACTTGGCCACAGGGCCGGCACAAATCTCCCCTTTTTATAAGGACAATACTCGTTGGATTAGGAGCCCACCCTACTCAGCCATACTCAGTATGACTTTGTCTTAACTAATTGTATCTGCAACCGTACTCCCAAATAAGGTCACAATCTGAGGTATTAGGGGCCAGGACTCCACCATATGAATTTTGGGGGGATACAATTGAACCCATAACAGTGAAGAAAATGTACAGTAAAAGTACTTTGTTCGGTGTGTTGAATTAATGGGCACCAGCCTATGGAAAGAAGAGCAAAACGTGTTTGTCCACATGCACTCCTGTGTGCCCACATGCCCAGAAGCATGGTCCCCCTCACGCTGGGAGCCAGGCGGCAGCTTTATTTCAGTGGCTGCTTACTTCTTTGGGATTTTTCTCTTCTTTTCAGAGTCCGACTTTGTGAATGTGGATCCACGAGGGAGGGAAGACTAATGTGAATTCTAAAGAGACATGAATTATAGAATTTCCAATCAAAAGTCATTTTGTCATTTTCAAGTAACTAATATGTGAATTCAAATGAAATATTAGCAGAGTTTTGCTCAAATATAGGTTCTGTCTAGTGATCTGATAAAAGTAATTTGTAACCAGACTTTCTCTCTCTTCAAAATCATGCTGAGTTCTCAAAACAGCTTATATTTTACTTAGCGTAAGTACCTCTCCCGCCCTCTCTTTTACGCTGCTCATTTACTTAGCCAAACCATTCCTCACTGATGCAACGGCAGTGCAGAGGGCTGCCCGACCAGCCACAGCAACTCCTGGCCCATGTGGGCCTGTGGATGAACACACTGTCCCTAGTTGGTCTTGGACACAAGGACAATACTTCTTGGAAGTGCTGAGAGGAGGGGGAGTGCACTGGGGAAAGATCTAGAAGACCCAGGTTACTCCTGGCCAAAAATATAGATAGGAGAAAAGGAAGAGAAGAGGAAGAGAAAGGCAGGAAGTGATAAATGAGAGTGGCCAATGGCAAGAAGAGGTGGAGGGGAGAGCATCTGTACTACAGCCTGCCTGTCTGCCATAAACAGTGCTCAGCAGCACCTGTCCCTGTCCCTTCTCTAGATGGCCCTCCCGTTGGTGAGGAAGACGCTGGGCCTGGTTCTAGGGCATTACAGGGAACTGTGTGCTCCCTGTCGTACCTCCTAGTGCCAGATCTTATTCTGAGTGTTTTCTTGCCCACAGCTGGAGAGGCAGGGGGCCCTGCTTGTGGAATTTGAGGCTCCCCTTGTCACAGGCCCGAAGCTGCCAGCCCAGCAGCAGAGCGTGGTCTTAGAAGATGATGTTATTCAGTTCTCGCCGTCCATGGAATACTCACTGCAACCTGGGGACAAGGTGCTGGCACCCTGGGAGCCAGACCGACAGCGGTATGGCCCTGGCACTGTTCTCTTGGGCTTGGAGGCAAGAGACCCCAAGAGAGGTAAGGGGAGCTGCTCTTTCTCTCCCCCAGAAGGAGCCAGGCTGGTGATCAGGCCAGGGGAGAGAGCAAAGGGCTAAAGTCTTTATAGCTTAAGGGTGTTAGAGGCATTAAAAAAAATCCTTACCCCTGCACTTGCAGCTTAATCCTGGGGGTGGCAACAGATACACAGATCATATCTTTCAGATTATAAAATATTTTTTATCAGGGCAAATGGCCTAAATCTGCCATGTCTTGTTTTTTTTTTTTGAGGAAGATTAGCCCTGAGCTAACTACTGCCAGTCCTTCTCTTTTTTGCTGAGGAAGCCTGGCCCTGAGCTAACATCCATGCCCATCTTCCTCTACTTTATACGTGGGACGCCTACCACAGCATAGCTTTTGCTAAGTGGTGCCGTGTCCGCACCCCGGATCTGGGCTGGCGAACCCCGGGCCGCCGAGAAGCGGAATGTGCGAACTTAACCACTGCGCCACTGGGCCGGCCTCCTAAATCTACCATGTCTGTATTGGTTAGCTAACCTATGGTGTGGGGGGGTTATCCTAAGGTCACACCAGTACTCATGACCCCTCCCCTGCCAAGCTGTCCAGGCACTGGAACAGTCTTGTTGTGCAGGGCTGGCCAGTCAGCATCATTTTAATTCAGAGAATGACAGAAGGAGGCTTCTCTTTCCCTTCCTCAACCTGAGGATGCATTTTAGTTTTGACATGAAAACTGAGACAGGGAGGCACGTGCAAGTACACCAGGAAGCGGTGGTAAATATGGAGCAGGTGAGGGAATGTTCCTGGCAGGCTCTCCTGGGAGAGGTGCGCATGAGCAGGCAGGCAGGCAGGCAGAGCAAAGGGGCTCAACTGAGGTTTTGCTTTTTGGGTTAAGAGAACCCTTATGCCATGCTATAGGAGAGATAATTATAACAAAATGTTGCTCTTTTCTGTTATGTAGCATCAAAAGAAGAAGAAATTACAGTTCACTTCTGGAATGGCAAGATAGCCCCAGTGCCTCTAGGTGGGGTCAGGTGGGTGCCCCCAGCTGTCTGGAAGAAGGCTGTGGAGAGGCTGCACAAGCCTTTCACCAGGGAGCACCCCAGTCCCCTCCTCTGGGCCCCTTGCTGCCCTCTGCTAGGGCCGGTCACTGGATATGTCTCCAACGGGCTTCCTCTGGGCACTCCGTTCCTGTGCCCTCCCTGCCACCCCTACGCCTGCTGCCAGCTGCTGTGCCAGGGCCGCCTCTGCTGCTGCCCCTTGGTTGGACCCACCTGGTGGCCTCTCACCAGGACCTCAGGGGTCACAGCCACAGAACGTCCAGAGGCAGAGCTGAAGCCCACAGCACAGCTTTTGCCCCTAGAGGGTCCTAAAGAGGAGGAAGTAGCAGTGCAAGCTCCTATGGCTGTTCCTTCCTCCTCCTCCTCTTCTGAAGAAGAGGATTTGGAGAATGATCTGGAGATGGGCCTCCCCCAGAGGCTGATGGTGGACAGCACAGTCAACACAGACCCCATCCTTCTGGAGAAGTCTCCGAGGAGGCAGAGCGGCCTCTGCCAGCCTGATTGGAGGTACTGGAGGAGAAATGGGCCTGAGCCGCACCCTGGGAAGCCAGGTATTCCTTCTTCTAAGGCAGGGCTGAGGCCGCTGCTCCTTCCCTCTCACATGTCTCTTAGGAATCTGATGCACACGTCCACTGTGCTGGGATTGGCAGTAACACTTATGAGTGTGGTCATGTTGAAGGGGAGGCTGTGATAAGAAGGAAATGGTAGGTTTCCATTTAAGCAATAAAGCCCAGCAAGAAAGGACGGGCTGATCTTTGTGCTAAGGTTTGCATTCTCATTTAACAATTGTCTACAATTGTCTTCTTTCTTCACTAGTCTCCACTGGCAGGGCACTGCCACTGTCTGTTCTGCTCCCCACCTTTTTTCTCGGAAGCCCTAATTTTCCTCTAGATGAATAGTCAAAATGCCTCCAGGTGTTGATTAGAGTCTTCAATGCCCCAAGGAGCACAGAAACTGGTCTTTAAAATTGGTCATCGGGCCCTCCTGTCCAGGTGGGCCCGTCAGTAAGTTAGTGGGAAGAACCAGCGCACTGCACTGTGCTGCTCATCCTTTACAACTAAGGGGGAGGCCGTGTTACTGTCGCTGGCAATCTGCAGCCGTCCCTAAACTTCTTTACCTTAGAGTGGTGGAGGTTCCTGGGCTTCTGTAAAATAGGTCACTCCTATTTCAAGTGGGAGGCGTTGGCAGAAGCCACTTGGAAACAGCTGTTTCTACTAGATATGCCCACCCAACAAGCGATAATATGAAGAAAATGGTGCCGAAATCTAAGAGTTTTCATGATAAATTCTCCATAGCTTCCACTGCCTCCTGCTTCAGGACAGACTGGACAAAGAAAAGCTGTACCTATCCAAAAGAGAGCAACTGAGACGGCACCAGGCCCAGCCTCAGGGAGAGGAAGGCCAGTGGGGTAACTAGAGGGGCCATGGTGGTCAGACCTGCCCCAGGTACCCAGCCTGCCTTCCCACTGCTGTGGCTTGCTGCATAGCATTTATCTAGACTCGTTCCAAACCTGATCCAGTCCAAATTTCCTTGGCCTTAAGCCTGCGCTGTGCTTATCTCCATTGTCCAGCCACCTACATTTAACATTCAGTCTCTCTCCCCATCACCGTATTTAAACAGATCCACTCTAAAGGTTTTTTCCCCCCAAAATAAATTTTTTTTAATAATTTTTTTTTTTTAAAGATTGGCACCTGAGCTAACAACTGTTGTCAATCTTCTTTTTTTTGCTTTATCTCCCCAAACCCCCCCCGTACATAGTTGTATATCTTAGTTGCAGGTCCTTCTAGTTGTGGGATGTGGGACGCCGCCTCAATGTGGCCTGATGAGCGGTGCCATGTCTGCGCCCAGGATCCGAACCCTGGGCTGCCGCAGCGGAGCGTGTGAACTTAACCACTCGGCCACAGAGCTGGCCCCCAAAATAAATTCTAATAATTGGCTTCAGACACTTGGTCTGGCTCTCCTTTAGGTACTGGATCATTTGTTATGCTCCATGCAAAGGCTGATTTTTGGAGCTAAACCCCAAGAATCAATGGACCTGCCCTCTGCCAGGTCCCAATTCCGTGCCCAAAGCTATGGAGAAAATGCCTGAGATGGGGTGTGGGGAAAGGGGCCACCCCCAGCCCTTGTCATAGATGGGGTATTGAGTGCCATCAGTGAGGGTGAAGTGCATAAAACCACGTGTGTGCCAGGGCTGGAAACCACAGCAAACACCAGAGCTTTCCTTACCCCGCTCCAGATTTTGTGTCCTTTTAGGGAAACGTGCTGCTCTGCTTCTCCTAACTGTGCTTGATAGCCATCAAGTACCGACACTTGACCGTCTTCTCAGGCTCTGCCTCTTAGGAGTTAGGCTCTTGGGTGGGTCCCTGTGCCCTCCACACTTTGTTACTTTAGTTACAGGCAGTGAGGTCACTGTATGATCCTAACCTAATGATCCTGGATCCTGAAGAACCAGTTTGCTGGCTGCCGGCAGTCACGTTGCCCTCCTCCCTTGCTTAGGACTGAAACAGGATTCAATCTGTAGTTTTAAAAGTCAGGGAGGGGATGGATTCTTTCGAAGTGTTCCTTCCTTTTTTATGTTACTGCCCTATTCCTCAGGAAGTCGCATCTCCCATTATTTTTGTTTTGCCCCATTCAACCTCTTAAAACTTGTGTTCCCATCATGTTACTATCTCTTCTTTGTGATCAGTGTGATTTATAAGCTCCTTCGACTGGTGGTGGTTGCTTACCTTTGCTTCCCCTACTGGCTGTTTTGAAAAACGTGTCTGATAACTTCTCCCACTCAATTCCAAATCTGGTTATCAGATATAACCTTTTCCAAAAGCACCATGGCCAGAAATGACTAACAAACTTTATTTCTCTTTAAAGACAGAGAACAATGCTTGGAGCTTACAGATAGTTAATAAAGTCTGTGATCCTTCATGCAGTTCTACTTAAGTCATCACAACTCATCTCATCAAAATGCTGGCATATTTAACATAACTGAATTTTGCTGTTTAGGAACAAGAGGTGGCAACATCCAGAAAGAAAAGGGCAACAAACCACAGCAACAAACTACAGTGGTGGGGAGCACCAAGGAGCTGGTCCTGGAAGCAACCGACATGAAGCCACTGCAGGTCCTGCCAAAAGCTGAACGCAGAAAACTGAGCCAGGTACGACATATCAGAGGGACCAGAATTCCCCTTAGTCTAAAAGCCCTGAGGATCTAGGTAAAACAGAGTGGCTGGAGGGGCTCTGTAAGGGCTCCTTAGATGGTTCTTTGACCTTTTGGGGTCACACCCCTTTTGAGGATGATAAAACCCATGGACCCTATTCCCAGGAAAAGGTACATACCCGCAATTTTGCATACAATTTCAGAGGTTTACAGAAATCATGAAGTTCATCATAGGCTTCTTGGGGAGGCGGGGGGTGCAAGGATCCCCGTTTAAATGACCCTCTACCCTGGTGATGGGGATGGGTCTGCTTTACTAGGCCCTCTGTCCGTGGGAGTCTTCCTCACTAGGAATGCTAATGTAACTCTCCTTGGGGCTGGCCCCATGGCCGAGTGGTTAAGTTTGTGCGCTCTGCTGCAGGCGGCCCAGTGTTTCATTGGTTCGAATCCTGGGCGTGGACATGGCACTGCTCATCAAACCAGGCTGAGGCAGTGTCCCACATGCCACAACTAGAAGGACCCACAATGAAGAATATACAACTATGTACCGGGGGGCTTTGGGGAGGAAAAGGAAAAAATAAAATCTTTAAAAATAATACTAATAATATAGCTCTCCTTATCATATAAAATACTGGCATTTTTCCTGAAGAAAGACCTGTTATGTTCAAAGGAGATGAATCACCAGGCACCTAAACTGAGAGATGCAGCAAGACTGTTGGTGGAGTAGCTTAAAGAAGTTTAGGACACATCAGCGACTCTTTAAAATCAGTGATTTTTGATCCTTAAAATTATAGTCGGCATAAGACTCTCAGTATTTTTTTCTCTTACAGGAAGCTAAAGAGTAGTGGTGGTAGATACCTGAGGAAGAGTTACAAAGTGGCCGACAAAACCTTCGACGGAAGGAGGTAGAGTACGGGCTATAGATGATAGTTGAATAAGCAGCAGCATCTTCACCCCATTGACTTCCCTGCAGATGAGTGGCAGCAGGGAGCACAGGAGTGTGGCGGCCCTGGCCAGGGCTCCCTGCCAGGGGCCTGGTGAGATCTGCTTGGGGATGCCTCTTCCACAGAAGCTGCAGGGCTGGTCGGCCTGCTTTGGACAAATGTGTCCCCAGCCTCTCTGCCATCTTTTCATAAAGCCTACAGTTGTACATGAGCGACGTTTGGTTTCACCTCTTAATACCAATAAAAAGGAATTCTCTTTATTTCCAAATAGCTCCCTTTATTATCATAATTAACCTTTACTTGGAAAGCAAGCAATAAAAACTATCCAGACAGCATCATTACATTATTACCTTCAGGCAAAAGAGGGTGGAGGGACTTCTATACTTTCAAGTTAAAATAGGCACTTAAAGAGATGAACTCCAGGTCCCAGGAAGGCTCACCCTCTACAGTCGGTACCAAAAGCAGGATTAACGTGTAAATATTAAGAGAATAATATAGTGGCTTTATTCTTCTTGCTACTTAAAAAAAAGGTGATATGATGACTGTGATGGTCAACATCACATGGGGAAGACCAAGTCCACACTTTGTCCTGAATCAACTGCTACCACATGAGTCTTCCTGGTTAAGTCATTTGCACCCACAGTGACGGAATAGGTCCCCGGATATACTTCTATGTAGAGGTCCTTAGGGATGTTCTCTGCCTAGAAGGAAAAGCGGCTATTAGCAGGTTAGATTTTATATCCTAGTGCTGTCAGGACACCTCCACCAGGCTGCCTTTGTGAGCCAGAGGTGAGACGGAATGAAGCACTAATGTAGGAGGCGGAGGTCCTGCTTGAAAGCTCAGCTTGGCCACATAATAGGACTGTCGTTTAGGTAAGTCTCCATCTCGCCTTATGCTTGTTTCCTTATTTCTAAAACTGATAATACCTACCTCACAAAAAAGCATGTAGGTGAAAACGCTCTGTAAATGCTAAAGCATTACAGGAACATGAAAGGTCACAAAAGGACCATTCTAGTTGGAGTAGAAAGATAAGGATTAGGTAGAGGGAAGGGCTAATGACCATTGTTTTGGGGTTCAAAAGCAGACAATGGCACTCGTCAGCACAGATTACCAGCAATGGCAAGGCACAGTGGAACAATGAGAATCATTCTTTTGAACTGTGCTCTGCTAAATTATTAGGAAGATGAAACATTTCTTTTCTCCCAAAGATGAGAAGACTACGAGCAGATTTCATTTTGTCATGCTGCGAGTCAGCTGGTTGGCAAAAGCCTTCCCTTGGAGGACTGGTTCTCCTATAGTGCAAAACACTGGCAACTGGAGTGAATAGAAAGATTTATGTTTATAGCTGAGCGGAACACAAAACATCCTCCAAGGACAGACTTCATGCATGGCTGGAGAGTGGGTCGTGGCAGGTGTGCAGGCACAGGAGTGCAAATGGCAAAAGAGCCAAGTCTCAAACCACAGCTGGAATACGACTACATGCTTACTCAATGCTCAGAAGGAGCACAGGCAGACGTCGTCATTTCTACCACCATACCCAGAGGGAAAAACCAAACCACCGGCCAGCAAATTCCACTGGGAGGAATAAATGATAATATTTACACTTTTATGAAACTTCTTCCCCTTTCACCTTGCATATAGATTTGAAGCCAATTTTTTCCAAAGCTGCTTTATGCCCAGTTACTGCAAAATTGGAGGTCTAATATCATTTAACTGACATGAATGCATATGACAATGCCACAACTATTTATTGGTCATCAACTATGTAAGTAAGTATGTAAGTAAACAAACATAGGTTTCAGAAAATACAGCTACATCAGAATTGCAGAAAGCCAAGGAGGCTTCATTTGTCTGCATAAAAGGAAACACCAGAGGTAAGACTGGCATCTGTGATTCCAACACTGTGAACATCAGGAAGATTAGTGTGACCAAAATCCAGCACGTGTTGGAGGCATCTAAGCCTAACAACTTCTATTTGTACTAGAAGTAGAATATTCTTAGTTGTTATTAATTCTAGTATACTCTGAATCCTGGCTAGTAGCACATTACGTACAAACAAAAATTAAGCAAACTATCGCAGCAACATGCTGGAGTTCCTTTCCTCAGAATTCCAGCCCTTCCAAGTTCCAAAAGATTCCCTGGGTTCATGAATTAAAGAGTACTTTATCATAAGGATGAAAAACTCATCACTATGTTTTTACAGAGAAACATTGGTGGAAAATGGGAACAAATCCCTTCAAATGTTTTGGAACCCGATCTAACCAAATGTATGTTTCAGAACTCCAGTGATGGTTTTCACTCTGTAAGCAGGAGGGTCAGGCCCCCCTGCTGCTGGAACAGACGATGGAATTCCAGCAGGACTCAGTGCCAGCCCAGCTGAGCTGTAGGAACTGAGATGTGAATACTTCACATTCTTTCCAACCACAACCATGAGTTCAGACACAAAGAGTGTCCCTGAAGCTTCAAGTGAAGGAAGGATACCAAGAAAACATAATTTAACACTGAGCCAAAATGGCGTACTCTCCTCCCAAGGGTAAAAACATCTCAACTTCAAAATACTACAGATCCAGTACCTAAAACCCTATAACAACCAGGTCGACTGGTTCACGGAACTGCAGTGGTGGTTAAGCCCAATTTACTTGACGTTCTGTACTCACAGACTGTGTTGCCTCTAGAGCACACTCTGACACTTGATAGATGCCTCCAAGACCAGGGGAGGTGGCTTTTCTCTGAAGAGACAAATAGAAACATTGATCAGTGCCCGAGCTTTCAGTTCTGGATTGTAAAGACCAATTTCCTCCTACCTTATCAGGAACTAACAATTGTTCTGTCAGTTTTTTCTCAGTTGTCACCTAAGTTATTAAGACTTTCAGTGGATTCTGTGAGGTATTTTTAGTCAGATGTTTACCATGATTACTGTTTATCCTTACATGGGCTTTGGAGTCAGATAGACCTGAGTTTGCATCCTCTCTCTGCTGTTTGCTGAGAGGGACAGATGAATTTCTCTGAGCCTTGGTTTCCTAGTCTATAACAATGGGACACCAGACTGCAGGGAAGATTCAAAGTGCAAATGTGACTGACACTTCACAGGCTCTCAGGAAACAGAATTCTCTTCTGTGCTTCTCCCAGGAGTCGGGGTACTAGAAGGGAACAGGCTGAACCGATAGAGTCAATTTCCCTCAGAGGCATGAATTTACACTTACCGGAAGGAATGGGAGGGATAGGAATGACTCTTGCCCACACATAACCCCCTTAGGGTCAGGCGCACTTAAGAGAGCCCTAGGCCAGGCCAGAAATGGGAACCAGGACTCGGGCTCTGGTGTTGCTCCTCATATCCCAGGCCAGGAAAACAGAAGGGACTTCCAGCGTGGGTCCAGCCCTCGCTCTGGTATCCCTGTGGCCACTCTCCCATCCTCTGCCTAAACCCACAGGCTAGAGAAGTCAGGAGTCCAACTTGTGGATTACACTCTGGACTTAAGTTTGCTGTCTTTGAATACAACCAGGGGAGTTTAAAAATAAAAACAAAAACAAAGAAATCTCTCAAAAATAACAACAAAGGACTCCTGTTGAACCAGTTCAATGAGTAGCATCTCTGGCTTCCCCAGAATGACATGTGGCAAAAGACTGGTAAGTTTGTAGTGAGAGGCCTGTAATTGTTATCTTTAGAAAGAGTATTTTGTTAAAAGAGACCCCCTCTTTTTAAAAATTACCAAAAACATGTTATTACTACCTTAGAGTAAAATATGTGATTATGAAAAATCTCTTTCCTATCTCCAGATGTACAAGAGGATATTTGAAGCTTTTCTTTTTAAAGTCACTAATTTAATTAATTTATTTATTTTTGTGAGGAAGATTGGCCCTGAGCTAACATCTGTTGCCAATCTGCCTCTTTTGTTTGAGAAAGATTGCCGCTGAGCTAACATCTGTGCCAATCTTCCTCTATTTTGTATGTGGGACGCCGCCTCACATGGCTTGATGAGCGGTGTGTAGGTCTGTGCCTGGGATCTGAACCTGCAATCCTCAGGCTGCAGAAGCAGAGCACACGAACTTAATCACTATACCACCGGGCCAGCCCCAAAGCTCTTTTCTTTTAGCCTGCCCAAGAATCCTGTGGCCGAGGATTGGAGATTCAACCGAAGATCTTACAGTGGTATCTATCTTATATTTTGGACAAACTCTTATTTCATGTTCATTACTGTAAGTTCTTCAAGGCTGGGAGCTGATACATGTCCACTGAGCACTGTAATGCTGAGTCACGCAGGCATCCAGTAACACAAATCCAGCAGGAGCTCCTCAATATAGGGTCTTCCACCTTGGAAGGCTGAGGGCACAGCACAAGACAGTTGAGGATACACACCTGGCCATTCAGCTCCGACTTCCCTCTGTGATAACGATAGACATGGGTTGCCCCTCCTTCCTCTGGCACAGATGAATAATATTTCTAGAGAAGTAATGTGAAAGATGTTGAGTAGCCAAATAATCTGGTCAAATTTTCAAAAAATTCCCTGTTACTTGGGCAAAGTGTGGTTAAGAAGGGAGGTAAGAGAGTGAACATAAGCTATCTGTCCTCTTGACAGGCCTCTGAGTCACATAAATCTTTGCCCATGTAAAGTGGCTGCCGAGAAGGAAACTGCATTTGGCATTACTTTGCTGCCATCTGCTGCCTCTGTAGGGCAAGAACTCTGGCCAACTAAAGCTGGGCAGGACCACGCTTTCTGCCAGGTTAAATAATTTTCAAATACACATGTCCTTTTGTCTCCTCTCATGACAAACAAGAGCTCCATGTTTATTGTCTAAGTCTCAGACAAGGGCAAAGCAAGAGAGAACTGCGTCTCCTTGAGACTTAGAAATACAACAGGAAGTGTAACATAAACCCAATAGCTATGCAGAGACCTCTCCCGCCCCTCCTCCGTTCTCCCCATGCAGAGGAGGGGTGGGGAAGGTCTCCAATTTAAGGAGAATAATCCAAAGGATCAGAAAGCAGTTACATTTTTCTTGTCTGCTTCCTTCCTCCCCCTCGAAGTTAACCTTAGACTTGCCCTTGATTATGACTAATGATGAAGACATCACACGCCTGCTTGTTTTGAACACAGCGTGGGGACAATGTTTAAGGCATGAGATGGAAAGAATAAGAAGCTGGGGAAGGAAAGCACTTCAGGACATGGATCTAACGATGTATTTTAGAGGCTGCTTCAAAATTTTGAAGGCAAACTCAGAAGGCTGTTCTTCACTCTATCTTTAGAAAGCCAAGGGATTCTGAGCCTCCATTCCATGGTGGAGACTTGAACTGAAGCATGAACTGAAAACCAAAATGAAGAATACCAATTTGCTAAACCTCAAACCAAAGACAAATATTACTGCTTTTACTGCCCATGAACCAAAGTGTTTAAGTTGATCACTTAACAGTAGAGCCGAAGTTATGGATTTTTCTAAAACCATCTAACAGAACAAGAACATAAAAATATTCTCTGAACCATATCTCACTGGTTGGAATCCTGTTCTGGGATTCACAGGGATTTTATAAAAGATGTAGAAAGATTAGAGATTTTTTTGAAATCTTAATATATGAAATTGAAAAGTAGGATGGAAACAAGTTATTCTCTTCCTTCTCCCTTATAGACCAGCAACCTTACAACCACATAAAAATCACAAAATGTTAAGGCTGGAAGAGACAATAGAGTTTGCTGTAATTCCTAGAAGACAGAACACCTTCCTTGAATGTGGGCTGGCCTGCCTTCAACATTCCCTTCAAGTACTTAAAGATGATCTGAGTGTATGGTTTTGAGAAGAGGGTCCTTAAAACCTTGTTGACGCATTTCATTGAATGGTACCAAAAATCTCACATAAGTCCTTCATGTTACAGTTTATAGCAATTTTCTGGGGTTCATCTCTCAGTGGAAACCAAAGAAACAGACTGTGAAGACTGGAAAGGACTTTAGAGATCTTCATTTTACGATGGGAAAGGTAAGGCCAAGAGAAACCAACCGGCCTAAGGCATTACAGCCAATAAGTGGCAGAACATGGGCCTGATTCCTGGGAGGCTGCTCCTGCCATTGAGCCACACCACCTCCAGTGACGTGCTGCATCTGTCCCACATAACCACCTTTGTGGCCAACAAGTGATATGGACCCACAAGGACATACATACTTAAAAACTACATTACCAGGGACTTGAAACGGGGGTTAAGATATAACGTAGGGATTTTGTTCTACTTTTTCTTTCAATATGTTTTGAAAACAGAGAGGCTCAGTTCCAGCTTCGAGGGACTCTACTAGTTTTGTTTACACTTTAGTTCAGTTCAAAGTTTTAAAAAACCCCAATATTTGAACCTGATTGCTTTGGAATTTAGCAAATAAGTTTTTTTCTTCTCCCACTAGTCTGAAAACAGTAGTGAAGGCAGAGACCTTTTCTGGCTTGTTCACTACTGTATCCTCAATAATACCTACAGAGTTAGGCATGCGATAAATATTTGTTGAATGAATTCTAACTTGGATTTATCAGCTGGTTTAAATTCTTGCCTGAGTGCAACCTGGCCAGGAAGGCAGGGCAGGGCAAACAGGCCGTCTCCAGCTTCTCCCTGCATTCCACAGAGATCCACTTGGTGATCATCTGCAGGCCGAGGAGGGGCATGGCTTTGGCTTACACACACTTACCCCGCACTGACTTGATGTATAGTCCATGAATTCAGCCATTGTTCTGAAGGAAGCACTGAGGGTTGGGTGTCTTTCTTCTCTCTATTTGAATAAACGGCAAGTCACAGGTGAGATCTGGTATTCCCTACTGGAGAATGAAGTCATTTTGGGAACAGCTTCCTTTTTACTTTTCGAAAGGCCTCTGCAAGTTTCTTTCAGTAAGAAGGATCTTACTGAGGAAAGAATTCCGACTCTAAAAGGAATACAGAGACATACAACTTATCCAGGACAGAGACAGGTTTGCAGGCTTTCCTCTAGCATGAGATGGTAACATGTAAGAATTTTTTTAAAAAGTAACCCACCAGGGCCAAGCACTCCCAGTATCCTAAAGCCACCCAATAAGAATCTGTCAAAGGTCAAGAGTTTTCAAAGGGCTTTTCCGTTCACTGCCCTGATACTTTAGAGCTTCCGCCAAGGACAGGGTCCCTGAGATGCTTCTGTGTGGCGTGCCCTGCTCCCCGACAGGCCACCGCTGAGCGAATGAATGGGCTGCTCCCCCAGCACAGGGCCCTCACCTCCCCCGGGAGAAGGCGCCAGGGGCCGACTGCGGGCCGACTTTCTTGGTAGGGCCGCTCCCGGGAAATGACCCCCACGCTGCCTTTGGGAAGCTCCAGCGAACGCCAGTCCACCGCCCTCCTCTTGGCCCGCTCCAGCACCTCCTGACCCAGCCTAGCCGAGCGCTGCAGGGAACGTCGGTCCACCCCGTTCAGCGCCGCGGCCGCCAAACAGGTCTCCATGTCTCCCTGCGCGGGCACATACACAGACACCGGCAGGTCAGCGGGCCGCCGCGACCCCGCCCCAGCTTGGGGTCGGAGCCGGGGCCTCGACCTCCCCGGTGACCACCGCCGCCGGCTCTGTCCCCAACGCGCTCCAGGCGCCGGGTCAGGGGCGAGGCGGCGAGCGCCGACCCCCTCACTTCTGTCTCCCCCCGCCCTCCGTAGTGGGCCCTCACCCGTCCCGCCCCTCAAGGCGCATGCGCTCAGCGCTCTGTCGGAGAGGGAGGGCTGGGCCTGGAGTGCCCGGCGCCGGCACCGCAGGCCATTGGTGGAGGGCGGGGGAATGGGCGGGGCGCGCGGCCGCACCGGACACGCCTTCTGCGTCTGGGCCGCGGCCCCTCCGCACAGGTTGCCGGACTAACTGCCGGAGTGCAGGGCGGGGGGCGGGGCTGTCGGTGCGCGGGTCGTAGGTGTCGGAGAGGAGGTGACTGCTGGGACCGCCAGCCCGCGCTGTCGGGGGAGCCCTTGGGCCCGGACCTGGCTCTTAGAGGTCGTCTCGGCCGCTTAACGGGACGAACCTGGTGCAGTCAGGTGGTCTCCTGTTGGGCTAAGAAATTATGGGGAGTGAGCCACGTGCCTCCAGGCGCCTCTTTCTGCCTGGTCGGTATTTTGGCATGCTGCTACTCTAAAACCTCTTTGAGGACAGGCCAAACGGTGCGGCTGTCAAGGTGGCGTTGGCAGAAGGGAGTCCGTCTGGCCCCAGGCTGTTGGCGGTGGGACGCGCGGCCTGCACCAGGAGGCAGGTGTTTCTGGGCCACAGAGTCAGAGGGGGCCTGAGTTGTCTGCAGGGTCTCCTGAAATCCCCTCGGGGCAGCTTCCTCGCCCTCCACTGCGAAGTACGGAGTCACACGTTTTTGGAGGCCTCTTCTCTGGGGGTTTGAAGTCCCCTTTCCAGAAAAGTTGCAGCCCATTTAAGGAACTGTGCCCCATTTTCTTCCACTCCACTCCACCTGGTTATTTGATGGGAGGTGGAGCCCAAGGTCTCCCTGCGCATTAGTGACTGCTGTGCCACTCTGCGCGCAGCATAGCACTGATGCTCAGGAGGGTCCCCTTTAAGGGTCACAATGCTGAGCTAGTCTCCTCAGCAGATGGTTTGATGCGCACTTCTGAGCTACCAGGTGTGTATGAGGATAACACCACAACCTCCATCTGCGCTTTCCCTGGTTTCCTGCTTTCCTCTCGCCGAAAGAAATTGAAAGTCTTAATTACCCTTGGGATAGTTTTCATTGTAGGAGTATTCTAAAACTTTTCCTTCAATGAGTGTTTATCCAGTGCCTCCTTCAGAACGAAGTGGTTTACATGCACAGGGTCCCAAATATCCAGTGTGGAGAGCTGAGTTTGAATTCCCTGCTCTGCCACTTTTTTGCTGCGTGATTCTGGGCAAACAAATTACTTAACTCGTTGAGCCTCGCTTTTCCTCATCTCTTCACTCAGGGATACTAGTACTACCAGCCTCCCCAGACTGAGCTTCTTGAGGACAGGAACCATATCTGTCTTGTTTACTGAGTTTAAGGTGCATCTAGTGTTCTATCTCTCACAGAAGGGCCTAAAAATAGCGATTGAACGGTGAATTGGATGGCTCTAAGATTTTGAGAGAGAATTCCTGTAAAATGCATAGCACAATGCCTTGCAAAGAATAAGTGTTCCATAGATTAGGTACATTATTATGTGCCAGGCGCTGTCCTAGGAGTTGCAGAGAATAGAAAGTGGATCAGACTGAAGGAGAATAAAAGGAAATGATGCACATAACATCTGTAATGCTAGGAACAAAATATTAAGATTTTGTCTGTAAGCTGTTTGCCATAAGATTGATACCAGATAAAGTTCTATGAAGCTTAGAGGAGAAAGATATTGTTCAGTTGGGGAGATCAAGAAAGGCTTTGTAGAGAAAGCAGCATTTGAGCTAGGCCTCAAAGGATGTAGGAATTAATGAGAGAAAGAGTAGTTAAGATACCTGTTAACTCATAATGAGTGTGGTTGAGGGGGAGAGAGAATTTGTTCTTTTATTATTTATGGATTTCAAGATCCTGGCTCCATAACTTTTAGCAGTGTCTGTGTAATCATGAGCAGATTACTTAACCCATTCTATAGCTCAGTTTTGTCTTCTATAAAATGAGAATAATAATAATAGTACATTCCTCATAGGGTTGTTGTGAGGATCAAGTAAGTTAATATATGTAGAGTGCTTTGAATAGTACTTGCACATGGTAAATGCTCAGTAAATATTAACTATTATTATTGTCTTAATAGACTTCAGCCTTGCCTGCTAATATGTCCTCACTTAGCCAATACTCCAGCCTAGGATTCTATTACTTCCCCCACCGCCAATTCCATTCCAGTCGAAGTGTTACTTTCCTTTTGTCAGGTCAACTTTTTGAAATCTTCGTCTGCTATTCCCAGGTGCAGCCTGTTTCCATGGCTTTTTTTTTCAATATTGGGGTACTTATCCCAATCTGATTTAAATTATATGTGGTTGTGGTTCCTTCTCTCCCAACAGTTTATGAACTCTTTGAAGGTGGAAACTGTTGCTTCTTTGTCCCTATATATCCAGTGCCTATTAAGCAGTAGGTATTCAATAGACATTTGTTGAATTTACTGATTTAATTTTTAATTTAAATAGATCCCTATTAGGCAAGGTAAGGTTGGCTTCTTTAAAAAAATCTATCCACATACACTTTACTGAATGTAATGAATATTCAATTGTAACTAATCTTCCTAGAATTTAACATTTAGAAATACATGGGAAGGAAGATACTTGGAATGAAACTGAAGCCTAAAGACTAAGATGAAATTAAATCTTTGTTTATTTTATATACATTTATATATACATATATTTTTAAAATAATTTCAAGGTTTGTACTGTATACCACAGATTGAGAGAATCTTTTTTCTCTTTTTTAAGATTGGATGGAACTAGTGATGGAAAGTGATCTACCATCAGGGCCCTCATGGATTAAACACAGCCCAAGCCAGGTGCTTCTGGAAGCCACTGGTGAGACTTGGAAACGGAACAGCAAATGGAAGGAGGGCGTATAATCAGAAAGGTACCTGGTCATCAGTGGAGAAAGAAACTGTTGTAAGCCTTCAACGATTTCTCTCTTCACAAGGGTAAATTTGTTCCAGAGAACACATAGAAGTTATTTGTCTAGATTATGTTTTGGGGAATAGATGAGTTCGGGGAAGTATTTATTCCTGAGGTCTGAGGGAAGAGATTGGTCCTGTGTTTGGGACTTTTTGAGGAGAAAAAAACAAGTCTAGCAAAGAGCAATGTAAATTCTTTTTCTCTATGGGAAGGGGGCAAAAAAGGGTTAAAAACCTAGGGTGCAAGAGTGGGTATCACGCCAGAGTGAGACAATGATTTATACTGTACATACCAGACAATGCATAAATCACTTCATTTGACAGGTGGTATTTTTATTTCTTCAGCAGACTTAGGGAGCTTTAGACTCATTACGGCTCTGTGAAGTAGTATGACGGTCTGAGCCATTAGATCATTCATTTTGCCTGATTACATCAACTCATTGGGTTATTGGGGAATGAAAGAAACTCCTTACCAAAACTGTCGTCTTGATTACATAAAGAAAATGAACCAAACTTCTGAGAATTAGCTTTTACAACCTGTTAAAAATGGACTGGAAGTTAAAAAATTGGTGGCAGAGCAGGAATGATTAGGGAAAAAGTTTTGTCATTTTAAAAACTACCAGAAATTAAAGGGGTAAGTAATTTTGGGAGATAAAAATACTAGTTGGAACCCAAGTAGAGTTTTTTAAAAACTGCTTTATTGAGGTATAATTTAGATATCATAAAATTCATCTCTTTTAAGTGTACAACTCAATAATTTTTAGTAAATTTACAGAATTATGAAAACATCACCACAAGCCGGTTTTGGAACATTTTCATTACCTGAAAAAAATCCCTAGTGCCCACCATATGCAATCAGTCTCAACTCCCACCCCTAGACCCAGGCAACACTATTCTGCTTGCCATTTCAATACATTTGCCTTTTCCGGACTGTTCGTATAAGTGAGTCATACAATATCTGGCCTTTTTTGTCTGGCTTCTTTCACATAGCCTAATGTTTTTGAGGCTCATCCATGTTGTAGCATGTATCAGTACTTCATTCCTTTTTATGGCTGAATAATATTCCATTATATGAATATACTACATTTTGTTCATTCGTTCACCAGTTGATGGCCATTTTAACTGTTTCCATTTTGGGCCTATTATGAGTAATGTGGCTCTGGAAGATCGGGTTCAAGACTTTGTATGGATACAGGTTTTCATTTCTCTTGGGGAGATACTTTGGAGTGGAATTGCTGAGTGGTATAGAAAATTTATGTTTAACATCTTAAGAAACTGCCAAATTGTTTTCCAAAGTGGCTGTACCATTTTACAAGTCCACAAGCAATGTATGAAGGTTCCAGTTTTCCACATCCTCCCCAATACTTGTTATTGTTTGTCTTTTTGATTATAGTCATTCTAGTGGGTGTGAAATTCGTATCTCATCATAATTTTAATTTGCATTTCCTTAATGACTAATGATGTTGAGCTTGTTTTCTTGTAGTTATTAGCCATTCCTATTTCTTTTTTCATCAAATGTCTATTTGAATCTTTTGCCCATTTAAACATTTTTTTTTTTAATTGGGTGATAAAAGTTCTTATTCTGGGGGGCCGGCCCAGTGGCACAGTGGTTAAGTTCGCACGTTCCACTTTGGTGGCTCTGGGTTCGCCAGTTTGGATCCCAGGTGTGGACATGGCACTGCTTGTCAAGCCATGCTCTGGCAGGCATCCCACATACAAAGTAGAAGAAGATGGGCATGGATGTTAGCTCAGGGCCAGTCTTCCTCAGCAAAAAGAGGAGGATTGGCAACAGATGTTAGCTCAGGGCTAATCTTCCTCAAAAAAAAAAAAAAGTTCTTATTCTGAACAAGAATTCTTTATCAGATGTATGATTTATAAGTTTTTTCTCCTAGTCTGTGTCATGTCTTTCATTTTCTTAATGCTGTCTTTTGAAGGACAAATTTCATAAGTTTTTATTAAGTCTAATTTATGAGTTATTTTCTTTTATGGATTGCACTTTTGGTGTCATATCTAAGAAATCTTTGCCTAACTCAAGATCATGGATATTTTTTCCTATGTTTTCTTCTAAAAGTTTTATATTTTAATTT